AGAGAGAGAGAGAGAGAGAGAGAGAGAGAGAGAGAGAGAGAGAGAGAGAGAGAGAGAGAGAGAGAGAGAGGAAGGACAGCCGCGAAGACTGCCGGGGGGTGAGGGCACGGGCCGTGGGACAAGCGGGAGGAGGAAAGGGGGAAGAGCAGGAGGAGCATAGGCCCTCGGGAGGAGGAGGAGGAAGAGCTGTCAGGGCAGGGAGGTCACAATCAGGGGACCTAGAGGTCGGGATAGAGAAATGGGATCGGGGAGGGAAGTCGGGATCGGGGGACAGAGGTGGGGATAGATGGCGGGAAGTGGGGGGAAGGAAGTCGGGATGGGGAGGGAAGTCGCCGGACGGAGGCCGGGGGAGGGAGGTCGGAGGAGGGAGTCGGCATCGGGGGAGAGAGGTGGGGATCAATGGAGGGAAGCCGGGATCGGGGGAGAGGTGGGGACTGATGGAGGAAAGTCGGGATTGGGGACAGAGGTGGATATCGATGGAGGGAAGTAGGGGGAGGGATGCTGGGATGCGGAAGGAAGTCGACGAAGGGAGCTCGGGGGAGGGAGGGAGGTGGAGGGGGATCGGAGTAGGGAATAGGGACGTCGGAGTAGGGACGTCGGGGGAGGCAGGGGAGTCGGGATGGAAAGGGACGTCGGGACGGGAAGTGGGGTTGGAGGAGGGGAGTCGGGGAATGGAGGTCGGCCACTCGGCGGAGGGAAGTCGGGGCAGGGAAGTCGGAGGACAACCGCGAAGACTATCGGCGGGTGAGGGCGCGGCCTGCGGGACAAGCGGGAGGAGAGGAAGGTGGGAAGAGCAGGAGGAGCAGCGGGAGGAGGAGGACGAAGAGCTGTCAGGGCAGGGAGGTCGCAATCAGGGGAAGTAGAGGTTGGGATGGAGAAATGGGATCGGAGAGGGAAGTCGGGATTGGGGGACAGAGGTGGGGATCGATGGGGGGAAGTGGGGGGAAGAAAGCCGGGATGGGGAGGGAAGTCGCCTGACGGAGGTCGGGGAAGGGAGGTCCGAGGAGGGAGTCGGGGTCCGGGCAGAGAGGTGGGGATCGGTGGAGGGAAGTCGGGATCGGGGAAGAGGTGGGGACTGATGGAGGAAAGTCGGGATTGGGGACAAAGGTGGATATCGATGGAGGAAGTAGGGGGAGGGATGCTGGAATGCGGAAGGAAGTTGACGAAGGGAGCTTAGGGGAGGGAGGTCGGCGGAGGGGGATTGGAGTAGGGACGTTGGAATAGGGACGTCAGAGCAGGGACGTCAGGGGAGGCAGGGGAGTCGGGATGGGAAGGGAAGTCGTCGGAGAGCGGTCAGTGCAGGGTGGGAAGTCGGGATGGGAAGGGGGGTCAGTCCACGGAGGGAAGTCGGGATGGGAAGGGCGGTTGGAGGAGGGGAGTCGGGGAATGGAGGTCAGCCACTAGGCGCCGGAGGGAAGTCGGGGCAGGGAAGTCGGGGGAGGCAGGGGAGTCGGGATGGGTAGGGAAGTCGTGAGAGCACTGAGAGGGGGGTCAGTGCAGGGAGGGAAGTCGGGATGGGAAGGGGGGTCAGTCCACGAAGGGGAGTCGGGATGGGAAGGGGCATTGGGGGGAGGGGAGTCGGGGGAGGGGAGTCGGGGAATGGAGGTCGGCCACTCGGCGGAGGGAAGTCGGGGCACGAAAGTCGGGGGAGGCAGGGGAGTCGGAATGGGAAGGGAAGTCGTGGGAGGGGGGTCAGTGCAGGGAGGGAATTCGGGATGGGAAGGGAGGTCAGTCCACGGAGGGGAGCCGGGATGCAATGGGGGGTCGGGGGAGGGGAGTCGGGGAATGGAGGTCGGTCACTCGGCGGAGGGAAGTCGGGGCACGGAAGTTGGTGCAGGGAAGTCAGGGCAGGGAAGTTGGGGCAGGGAAGTCGGGGGAGGCACGAGAGTCGGGATGGGAAGGGAA